TGGTCCGATTGTATCCACTAGCCCTAACCCTATTTCTTTGTCTTTCCCTACCTCAGTGTTTGCGGAAGAATACACTCGGTCGTAGCTATAGTAAGTGCACAACATTACCGATTGATCCGATTGTGTGCACTAGGCCATGGCCAAACTCTAGTTCTATGTCTTCCCTTACCTCAATATTCGCGGTTTCAAACCCATGTGCGGCAGAACACACTCAGTCGTAGCTATAGCAAATGCCGAACACTTGCCAATTGGTCCGATTGTATCCACTAGCCCTAACCCTATTTCTTTGTCTTTCCTTACCTCAGTGTTCGCGGTTTCAAACCCACGTGCGGCAGAGCATACTCGGTCGTAGCTATAGTAAGTGCACAACATTGCCGATTGATCCGATTGTGTGCACTAGGCCGTGGCTAAACTCTAGTTCTATGTCTTCCCTTACCTCAGTGTTCGCGGTTTCAAACCCACGTGCGGCAGAACACACTCGGTCGTAGCTATAGAAAATGCAGAACACTTACCAATTGGTCCAAGTGTAACCGCTAGCCCTGACCCTATTTGTTTTTCTTTCCTTACCTAAGTTTTCGCGGTTTCAAACCCACGTGCGGAAGAATGCACTCGGTCGCAGCTATAGCAAATGCAGAACACTTACCAATTGGTCCGATGGTATCCACTAGCCCTAATCCTACTTCTTTGTCTTTCCTTACTTATTTCTCACCGTGTTTCACATATAGTGGACGTCCCCTGAGTATGTTGTTATAATAAAAACAACCAAAAAAACATTGAACTCACATTGCTTGCGGGCAAAACGTGATTAAATCTAAATTTAAATTAATGTTTAACTTGTTTTTGTTATCGATGCATTTAAGATATTCAATTTCCTTTTGTGAAAGCTTCTGCTCTCTTTCCAACATGCCGCTGTAAGCACGTAGAATTTTGAATTTCGGAAAAAAAGAGAAAATGTAGTTAATTTGCACATATTTTGCAGCATTTGCTTTGCCAAGTTCAAGGAAATACAAATTTTCATTTTCTTAATCTTCTCCCTACATCACTACAGAGTACAGAGTTAATACAGCATGCAGAAGAGCTTAAGATAGGCCCATCTTTCGTTACGTCCATCTATTCAGAATAATAATTTAAATCGATCTAAGCCTGTCCGTCCGTCTGATGTCTGTCCATGTAATTTTGCGTTCAAGCTACAGGTCGTAATTTCTGGCGAAATTTTGATGAAATTTGATACAGTTATTTGTTTTAACCCAAGGACGTACGCTATTGAAAATGGTTCGCATCGGTAAACTTTTTCGACCACTCCGCATATAACGCCCTATTTTGAAAAAAATTGCAATTTTCAAAATTACTCGGCAAAAGTAGTTAAGTAGTAGCATTTCGGCATTCTAAATTGATATGGAAACTTTGAACAAAATGCGGCAATGTTTGAACCCTCTTTCATATAACGAAGACCATCGTTCATGCGACAAAAAGGTGTAATTTTCAACGCTTTATGATGAAAATTATATCGTAATAGTAACTTAAAATAAAAAAATTAACTTTGCCAAATTTGGACCATCTCGCCCTACATCTTGGATCCTAGCCTAATAACGATTTTCACGAAAATTGGTCCTTTATAAAGCAGAAAAATCTAAAATTTAATATGGTGATGAGAATTGACTTATAATAGTAATATCACACAAATGCGTTAAACAATATGGTGTAGGGTATTTAAAACTTGGCCTTGCCCAACTATAACGCTTTTATTATATATATATATATATTCATTTCGTCAAAACGTTTGCAGCGTTCAAAACGAAGCATCAGAGACCCAACAAACTATATATATTCTTGATCAGCATCAAATTCTAAATCGGTTTAAGCATGTCCGTCTGTCCACATTTGTAATGTCTCTTGTAAACATTCTCCTGGTCTCGAAAGTGAAGCTATCGACTTCAAATTTCAAAGATTCGAAGTTCATGCACGCCAGTTGGTATTGAAAATGGGCCAAATCGTTCGAAGGACACGCCCACAGCACCACGTAAACTGAGAACACCTCTGTTTTTCGAAGAGAACGAAAAATTGATTTTTTGCCCATTACTCATAAACCATAGCAAATAAATGTACAAAAACGTCTGCGTACAAAAATGGAAATAATTCGCTACGCCTACCCAATATTATAGCGCAACAAAATTGAATTATTGAATTTTTCAACACCTGTATAACGCGTAGCAACAAGCTTCAAAAACCCATAAAGTATACAGATTCTTGGCCAGTTTTAAATTTGGAATACACCTAAACATGTCCGCCTATTCGTCTGTCCGGCGGTCTGTTTGCGTAACTTTTTAGCATTTGTGGTAAACATTCTCCCGTTAGCGAAAGCGAAGATATCGCCTACAATTTAGCAAAAGAATTTGAATTTGTCCTAAACTTTTCAAAGGACACGCCTAGAACACCCTCGTGTCTATGCGACAAACACTTTTATTTTGAAAATAGAAAAGATCAGTTGTGCCCACTGCATATTTTAGAGCATGAAGATATTGTTCTTTTGCTTTTCTTTTATCTTTTTTTAGGATAACGGTGCTGGGCACAATAGATTCGGTCCCGACCGAATTTCATTTTCTTAATTTTTGTTGCCGTTATTTACTTTCTACTGGAGCACTACTAAGCATATGTTATCTCTTATTTTCTTCTCTTTTGGCATAATGTAGGTTGGAGGTCACACTCGCCTACTCTTACTTAATCAATCTACCGTTATAAAACCACTTAATTTGCGAGAATTGGACTTTTATCAAAATATCCCGCTTGATATACAGAAGTTTGTTCCCAAATATAAAGGTAAGTCTCTTAATAGATTATTCAAAAACTTTTCAATTTCAGTCACTATGTTTTCTCTGTTATCAATAAAACAAAATCAAAGAAAAAAAAAAAAAAATGCTTTCATTTTATTATTATGCAAACTGATACAAATCAATTTACTTCCATAATCATTTAGAATAATTGATGCGCATTCAATTCCATTTTGTTGTAAATAAAAATGTCTTGAAACAAAATTCAAATAAAAAATCTAAAAAGAACGAAAAATGAATAAAAGAAAGAAAGAAAGAAAAAAAAGGAAAAAAACAAAAACGAAAAAAGAATATATGAAATAATAGAAGAAATGCCTAAGTTCGTCATAGCTTTAGTGGAAAATTGTCATTAAGCTTGGTTTAATAATAATTGAAATTTAAATGTATTCATACATTTATTATGGCTTAATTGTGTCTGTATACTTTTCTTTTCTTATTTAATTTGAGGCAAAAAGTTGTTTCAGCAACAATAGATGAACAAACGTCACAATCCATTTTATTTAAATACATATGTATATATATATATATATATGTATGTATGTATATATATATATGCAAATTTTTTTTTTTTATTTTGGTTATTCTTAAATATACGTTAAATATATAGTATTAATAAAAATTTTTAAACTAATAATAGTAATTAAAATGTGATATTTAAAATAAAAAAAAATAAAAAAAAAAAGTTATCTAAGTGAAAATGACTGTGATTATAAAAAAAAAAAAAACAATAAAATTGAAAAAAAAAAATTTATGTAAACTTTTGCTCGCTATATATTAGTTATAGTATTTAATTTCTATATATATTTACAAAAATAATTATTATTAGAAAAAAAAAAAAAAAAAACACAAAATGATTTTGTGCTTCTGGCAGAAATTGTGGTCACACAAAATAAATTAAATTTTTATATTAACGTGATGAACAATTAATTAACACAATTTTAGCTCCCTTCTCTTTCTCTACAAACTATATGCAAAAGTACGAGGTTTGATCTGAAAGAATGCGATTATTACCTTATTAGTGTCATTTGTTGAAATGCAAATTTCTAAACGGGATGATTAGCTTTTCTCTTCCACTATTAGCTAACTGCGATTGGTTGACGATTCCTTTCACCCTGGAGTAATTGAAAGAATTCTGAGAATATTGTACATGTGACGAATCGCGGGAAGGCTTTTTATCTACGGGCGAGGACGTAAGGACGGACGGATAGTCTGCTATCGAAGTGTAATTTTTCCTCGATAAAATTGAACAAATGCGAGACCAGTCACGAATGACATTACTTCAAATTAGCAAGAAGAACTCCTTGACATTCCAAGCCCTTGAAAAGGAAAAATAGTAAAAAGTTGCCTTCATAAGCCTTCTAATACAATGAAACGATCCGTCACGCAAAGCATGCATCTTCCCTTTCTGCTGTTGCCCCTGGCTAGTACTGCAGTAAAAAAGGAAACAATCAGCGTAATCTCTGCATGTAACAAACAACAAGAGCAACAGACCGGAAAGAAATAATCAGAATCAAAGCTTTTTCATTTTTTCTATTCAGTATGAGAGAAAATTTTACCGCTTCGCCTTAGATGGGTTCAAGTTTTCTCTTTATGTTCACATTAGTTTAATTTACTTTATCGTTTCATACTTATTTGCGATTGTCTTTCTCTTCTCTTACAGATTTTTATATCTTGCAGGGATTTTATGGATAACACTTTTCCAAATTTATGCAAAAACATGGAAAAACATTGTAGTTTGCAAAGGCCATCAATTAAATACCTTATATCACTTCCAGCGTCTAAAATAATTCTTCATTTATATTCATGTAGTTTTTTCGCGGGAGACTTTATGGAGGACATATACTAAACACCAGCTGACATTGTTCAAATTTAAATTAAAAATCAATTTCCTTATCAAATATCAATCTCATTATTATTTTTCGTCTATTTGCCCTATAAGGGCTTTCTTCTTATAAGGCCCTTCATACGAAATGTGTTCCAAAAAAGCACCTACCCGGGGCAAATCTAGTATAGTTCATTTTGATATCAAATCAAATATAATTAGCGATCAACTTTCATCATAAAATAACAGACCCTTCGTATACCCGGGTATATTGGAGATGGTTAAAAAAATTCCATTCTATTTAAAGTTTCCGCATTTGCTTTATGTGTTTTTT